TCAATATCAATATCTTCGTGGCCTGTTTCACAACCTGCTGGGCTCGGCTCAAACTATACCAAGAGGGTCTCAGTCAATTGGAACCCGATCAAGTGCTTTATTTCGACACGGATTCGATCATTTATTCCTGTCAAGAAGGCCAGAAGAGTCTACCCCTGGGGGATTACCTAGGTGAATTTACGGACGAGTTAGAAGACGGCGATCACATCGTCGAGTTCGCGTCCGCTGGTCCAAAGAATTACGGGTATCGAACGGCTCGCGGTAAAGTGGAATGTAAGGTTCGCGGTTTTTCCCTAAACACTCGAGGCCGAGAACAACTAAACTTTGAATTCCTCAAAGAAAACGCCATCCGCGAAGTTTCTGACCCACTATCAGATCCACGAGAGATCCCTGTCTTTAACCCACACAAGATCACACGGGATGTCAACACCAAACAATTAGAAACACTTACCGAAATCAAGCGCTACAAGTTGGTCTTTGACAAACGGGTTGTGGACACGAAGAATTACTTTTCGTACCCTTACGGATACCTACGCTACGATGAGGAAGCGGAGGAAATGTTACAAGGGCTAAATGTGGCCTGGGACGAGCAGGACGACATGAACGTCGAACTCTTGTGCGAACTCTTGTGCGAATAAGTCCCTCGCAAAACACACTTCCATGCATACGCTCAGTAGGACAAGACACACTCTCTCCCCCTTCGTCAGCACGCACACACGTTGCTCTGAAAATAGTGTACCTGCAGTGGCTCACCCCAACTTGTAAAATTGACATTTTTTGAGATTAAAGAGTTGTTGAAATATAATTGTGTGACTGTTTTTGTAATACGTGACACCCTAGCGTGACAAACTTATGACGTCATAAGTAGTTTTACCTCTTGCAAGCTTAATTACTTTGATTTTCCTTCTGTCTCGTCCACTCCAAAAATTCCTGATTGGCTACTGCTAAAACCGTCGGGCTATACTACTAATGACAAGCCTTATTAATGACAAAGTTAATAGTTATCGATAATATATGCTTTAAGTGTTTTCCTAAAAGATGCCAGTGATGAATAGCCAGAAATTTCAGGTGAAGGAGAATTTAAAAATTTAGGACCTCGATATAATACGGAGAATTGCCGGATATTTGTTGTGCATAATGGTAGACGAAAGGAGTTTCCATGCCTTGTATTGTAACCATGTGTTTGGTTGTTTATTGTGAATATGTACTCCAATTTTCTAGGGAGAATATTGTTCTTAAACGAAACCATAAACTGACCTAGATATAATTACCCGTCTGTGACGAATTATAAGCGTTTAGAAGAATTATCCGTCTTAGTCGAATTACCCGCGATCCGTTCTAGACGAATTATCCGTTCGACACGAATTATCTGTCTAAGAGAAATTATCCGTCTGAGTTGAATTATCCGTCTGAAACGTCCATGCTTTTCCTTGAAGACGTTTTGTGCAGAGCGTTGCGCAAACGCTCCATGTGTCCTGCAAATTTTCTAACTGGGGTAGAGTGGGGCGCCATCCGTTACCGTACTGTTGTTCCATTTAATATGACCTGTTTTCTGCAGAGGAAATTTTGATCAGATAGGAGTAGACAGAGAAAGTCCTTCGATGTAGTGAAAGAAGAACGGCGTCTGATGATAAAAGTACAGAACTAGTCTGTCATCATTCCATCAAGGCTTTTTCGTTTTTTTTTTTTTTTTCCATCCGGCCGGCGTAAAAATGTTTTCACTGTTTTGTGATGGAATTAAAAAAAATATTGGACCTCTCCCGGCCCAAATAAGATGGTCTGGTTTATTTCCGATTAGTACTGTCAGAGAGCATCGTAAGTAAATTTCCCCTCATAAGGATTTCATCACCCGCATATAGTTATTCGCATTTTTCTATCCGCATTTTTCTATCCACATTTTGTCATGCGCATTCCATCTGCCATCCGCCGTCCGCCGTCCGCCACCATCTGGTCCCCGTTTGACAGAGACCTGTTAAATCCAGGGTTGATCGCTGGCTAAAGCAAATCTGTCATTGCACCTGTAGACCTTAGAAGGCTAATTATCAATTTAGCTTGCAGCAAGAAATTTCAGTGAATTCTGTTTTAATCACGTTTTGATCAGATCTGTAGCTGCTTTAATCGAATAGTTATAGTTAAGGATGTTTTTTGGCAAGGATTCAAAATAGTTGAAGTCTTAGTTTAAGACGAGCCAATCAAATCATGTGTCTCCAGAGCGACCTCTTTGCTCGTGCCAAGGCACTGGGGCTTGCGGGCTAAGACGGACGAGAATGATGATCTGAGAAGGATCTGGGAGCAAGAATGATGTCACTTGTCTGCCTTGTGAGTCATACGATATGTGTGACCGATTTCCGGGTTGTGTGGATAATGCAAAATACGATCCAGAATTTACCTCGATTATTCCCTTTCTCAAGCAAAACTTGTACAGTTATTCAGTCAGATCTCTGAGGAGCAATCCCATTTGGACTTCGTCGGAGATGAACTCGCAAATAAGCTTTGCAATGGTCCTTATTTTGTGTCTAAGCAACGCGGCTGGGAAAAAGGATGTTACGTTAGGTATGTTGACGTTAGGGGACTTACAATTTGAGTAGAAGTACTAGATCCATTTCGAGTAAGACTTTTCCAGTCTAGTTTACAGTCTTCAAATCATTATATCCCACTGAGCTACTTTCTCTACCAAAGCGAGGGCTCTGGAAACGTCACTGCTTTGAAATTCGAAACTGATCGTGCTCGAAGTGCAATCTAAAGGTCCTCCCAAGATCTGATGTCTGAACATTTCGGGTTTTGTTGTTATGTGTGCATTTTAACGAGTACATACAATGTGATATGTGGCTTTAAAACACTTAACAAAGTGCGTTGCTACGCTTTTACTGGGAAAAGCATGCAAATGTAACCTTGTTGATTCAGATATTTTGTACCGAGACAAGTCAATTTATGAACGTTCATACGCAATGCACGTGTCACGCAACCTGCCGTGATGAGTACTGCTCCTTGAACTTTTGAATGGACCTTATAGGCGTCATATAATTTGAAACTATTGAACTTTTTAGAACACTAGACTCACTGCCACAATGTTAGCGCTAAACAAGTTTAGTCGTTCACGTTCATTTATTTTTTAACGCCGTGTCGCTTGACGGAATTCATCCTCGGTTGTTTAATATAAACAACCGAGGATGAATTCGATTCCGTCAAGCAGAACTTGCAGGGATTTTTTTTACCTTTGTAAAAGCAATATTGAAATAATAAAGATTGTTTTGCCTAGTATCTTTAACCTTAAAGAGCGACAGTTGCCGTATTTGCTCGACTAAAAGCCGGTTACTTGTAAGTAGGACCTCAAGAAATGGCAACAAAAATTACCATAGAATATAAGGAATAAACAAATAAAATATG